AGCCTTCTGTTTGGTGAGTTTTGGAGATGTCACCATGAATCCACACAGACACCTAGATTTGGATACCTCCTCTGTACGCAGATCAACACAATACTAGAGGTGTCTCATACGTAACAGAGAAAGAGGTTTGTGCATTCTGTCAACTGCCCAAAAACAAGATCACCAGGCTCGCAAAACTCTTCTATAAAAAGGTCACTAGCCTGCAAAATATATTTTTCTATCCCACCTGTACAAATACCCAATACAATCAGCCTCCCAATCTAATCTAACCTCATAAGATGATTGTGAGATCAAAAAAAGCAGATGAGAAAATCATGACTTTCTCTCTGAGCTCATTAGAAGAAGGGTGAAATAAAAGCATAATAGGTAACAGACAGCTGTTAACCAGCCTGGGATAACTTCTATTCCTTACCCCTGACAAACACTTTTGGCTTCTCCAAGCTGCTGCCCCACCCTCTATCCTTGCCTCTTTCCCTCTGGCCACCAGCCTCTGTCCTCCCTAATGCTCAGAGTGGATGCCAAAAAGCCACTTGCAGTCACCATGTATCCCCTTGCTGGTGTGGGCCTCAGGTAACTCTCCCTCTCAGCCTCACCTATCTCACAAGGTTCCTTGTGAATATAAGAGGTACACAGTGACTTGCCCGAGTCCACAGGATAGGGTAGGAAGAAATCTAAATTACTGATAATTCTTTTGAATATTCAAAGGACCTAAATGCACACTGTCTCAACAAAAAATACAGCCACCCTGCAAGGCAGATAAGGGCTGCGGTCACACGGAGCATTAGCCACGCTACAGAGACAGAAGATAGGCGGATTTTCTGGGTGCGATCACAGCGCCACATCTGGGAAGTGTAGAGCTCCCGTGGCGAACCCGAGGCTTCCCACCGAAGATGCGAATACATGGATCCATGAAGGGGACCAGACGGAGGACACAGTTTGCATTCCTCTGCAGCCCTAGAAGGGGTTAAACCTGCGGAGCCTTTTGCTAGAGAGGCCGCTTCTTTGCCGTGCCGCAGGATTGTCCTGTGATCGGCACCTGCCCCCTAACCACGGGACCTCGACGGGACATCTGATCGCGCAGCCGCGCGTTATTTTGCTCCGGGGCAAACAGCCCCGCTCCCCCCCCCCCGCATTTTCCTGCCCGTGTGACCGGGGCCAAGTGTTGTCATCCCATATGGAAGATGGAGGTTTGCGGCTGAGAGACTATGGCTGCAGTCACATGTCCTGAAAAACCTCTGTTCATCCCTGATGGGCATGAATATAGTTTGTCGCTGTGCTTGCACACTCCCTCTCTCACTCTCTTTTGGCTTTGGGAAACCTTCAATCAAACGCAGAGGTGCAGTGTTATTTGAATGGGTTTGTTTGTTCCTTTCTACGTGCTGAGATTTCACAGTGTATTTAACTGAATGCCAAACTAGTTTTTTTCAGGTACACCGTCAACAAAACAGAGGAGGTTGTCTTACATCTGTGTACAAGCGACAATCATGTCCAATAATAATTTGTTTTGTGCATTACTTTTTTTTAGAGGGTCATTTTGCTTTAAGGTATAGTATATGGTACTATCAAGGTTTGTGAAAAAGAAATCAGCCCCAATTTGCCCAGACACCTATGTTCAGATGTCACAGCAAACTGGTGTTTAAGGCTTTCAAAAACAGAAAATCTTCAACTGCACTCCATTTGTGAGGGGAGAGAGGAGGGATGGAACACAGCAACAAGTGGCAGTCATGCCCATCATGGACAAACCAAAGTTTGTCATGACCTTTGACCGTAGCCAGTGCCTTGCCTAAGGTCACCTAACGAACATCTGGCAGAGGTCAAATCTGAACTCTGAACTTCCTGGTTCACAACAGGATCTCTAAACACTATGCTACAGCAGCGCTCAAACTGATAAGTTAATCATTAGCCAATCATATATCTAAATACTTAAAAATATTCCCACGCTGATCAAACCACCATTGAAAGCCAAGGGACTGAAACAGCCAAATCATGTACAAAAATGGGGGATGGAAGGGAAGAGAATAACTTTATGTTGTGAAACCATAAACTATACTAATAACAACCTCCAATTAACAAGAATCAAATCTATGCAAGATAAATCAAGACTATCTTAAAGTAAGCAAATGAGGCCCAGGAGCAAAGGAGCAGGTGGAGTTTTGTGATGTCATCCAAGAGCCACTTAGTAGTAAAGCACCTGCAACTGAGCCTCAGCCATTCTGGGGCTTGAGATGCTTACAAAAATCCCGAACAAACATCTCAGGAGCATCAGCAAGACAGGTGCTACATCTCGGGCAGCAACCAAGTTGGGGGGAGGGACCTGTCAACCTACAGCCTCCCTTCTAGGGAAGGAAAGGCGATACACCGCTTTTAACTGCCCACAGTGTCTAGACAGACACAAAGATTATGCGTCCACAGAGAAATGACTCCCAGTGCTTGGGACTTCCCCAACCAGACTCTGTCTCCCCTGCTCTTCATGCCTCACATCACACCCACATGCTAAAATACAAGTTCGAGAGGACCTCCACCCTGCAATCTTGCCAGGTTGCTCCAGCATCCCAATGTTTTAGCCCACCCCATTCAAGGACTTGGGGCTGACAAGACAAAGTTACACCTCAGGGCCAGTGTTCCCTCTAAGCTGAGTTAGTGTGAGCTAGCTCACTGTTTTTTAGCCTCCAGCTCACACCTTTTTGTCTTCGCTCAGGAAGGAAGGCTCCAGAGCAAACTAACTTACGCAGTAGCCAAATCGCTGGCTCACAACTTTAATGCCAGCAGCTCACAAAGTAGAATTTTTGCTCACAGGACTCCATAGCTTAGAGGGAACATTGCTCAGGGCATAAGACTCTAGCCCTTGTTCTCAAGGTCAAGGACAGCTTTGCCTGTCCTCACACGGCAGCCAAAACCCAGGCTACACCCATCAACCCAGCCTAGGGTCTTCCGCTTGTCTCTCTTGCTCCACCTACTTCCCCAACATCCCTAGGCACCCCACTGGGTGACTCCAGACCCAGTATCCAAGGGGCCACACAAAACATAGCCAAGACCTGACTCTTTTGCAAGACGACTCACAACATGTAGCATTTCCTTCCACCTGACCCATCCACCATGCTTTTGCTTCAGCCTAGCACAGTGATGGCGAACCTTTCAGAGACCAAGTGCCCAAACTGCGACCCAAACCCCACTTATTTATCGCAAAGTGCCAACACGGCAATTTAACCTGAATACTGAGGTTTTACTTGGGAAAAAACAACTCATACATTAACTTAAGATGATCCAAACAAAGTAAGGAAAGCAATCCCAAATGCTTTCATTTACTTAAAATTATTTGGCAGAGAATTCGACACTTTAATGATGGTCTGGGCCTGGCTGGGGCGATGGCACGCGTGCCCGCAGAGAGGGCTCTGAGTGCCACCTCTGGCACCCGTGCCATAGGTTCGCCACCACTGGCCTAGCATATACTCTGCACTACAGCATTCAATCAGAGGCTACTTCCCAAGCACACAAAAGTTGACATCCTAGCCATACTTCCTAACCTGACTTATTCACCCATTTCTCCCAACCCCTCGTTTCCCAGCTCAATGTCAAGTCTTACCAAACTGCAGCTATCCCTTTGCAATATTGGTTTTCCCTGCAGACCAGCCCATCAACAGGCATGGCACCTCATAAATTAAACTTCACTCACACAGCCGCCGCTACACTTCCTGGAAACCCCATCAAGCCAACACCCAATTTGCCTTCACCCACATTGCCTGTTTACCCCAATACACACACATCCAGCTCTCACTCTCTCTTCATTGCCCAACCTTAGCTCTGCTTCAGAATCTCGCTGCCCCTCCCCCAACCTGCAGACCATCAGAGCCCCCCCCACCCATTCCTTCCCTCTCTCCCATGCTGCCTACCTATCTTCATCTCCCAATATCACCCTACATTCCCAAGTCTTTCTTTCTCTCCTCTTTCCCCCCTCCACACTTGCTCCTAAAACCTGATATGTCAGTCCTCCGAACCTATCCTAAATTCCCCCCATTCTTACACATTCCTTCTCTTTTCCCAATTATTCAGAAACCCTTTCATATCCCCCCAGGTTTCTTGAATCACCCCCTTTCCCTTATGGAGGCAGATCAAGATGGGTAGCCGTGCTAGATCGTCTGTAGCAGTAGACAAGAGCAAGCGTCCAGGAGCACCTTAGAGACTAACAAAATTTGTGGCAGGGAGGTAGCTTTGGTGAGGCACTGCTCACTTCTTCAGATACAGGTAGAGTGAAGAAGTGAGTCATGACTCACGAAAGCTCCTGCCCTGCCACAAATCTGGTTAGTCTTTAAGGCGGCTCCTGGACTCTTGCTCTTTCTGACCCTTTCCCCTGTGTTTCCAGACGAGGGTTCTTCCTACCCCACACTTACCTCTCTATATTCTTCCCCTGCTAGGTCAAGTTTCCTAAAAGGCCCCTCCCTTTTCTTTGCCCCTCCAGAACCCTGATCACCCCCGTCCTCCTTCTTCCCCATCTGACATCCTCAGTACCCTCCCCTCCTCCCCCCACCCTGCGGCTCCTTGACTGTGCCACCTTCCCCTCTACAAGGCCTAATCAACAGCCCCCCCTCCACGCCCGCCTACTGATGACCCCCCCCCAGAACACGATGGAACCCCCCCCAGTATAACATCCGACCCCCCCCCCCATTCTCCAGTCCCTTCTCAACCCTCGTTACACTACCCTTCCCCTAGCATGCGCGCGCACAGAGAGCTACCTTAACCACTAGACGGACACCCCCCTGCTCCTCCTCACCCCTTCCCAATTTCCCGGGGGACTCCCTCTCCACCCCCAATTTCCTGATGCGTCCCCTCTAGTAGGTCTTGCTTCGCCTCCATTTCTCTCGTGCTCCCTTGATTGGCTGCTTTTTCGCCCCCACGGGGCCTGGTCGGCCCTCCCCCCCCCCTTCCTTCACCCCCCCCGCGCCTCTAAGGGGCCCTCCCCCTAGCTCTTGCCGGCCGCCCCTCTCCGCCGCTCTTTCACCTACCGACAGTGGGGCGGGCGCGGCTGCAATCGCTCGACGCCGTCGCAACCTCACCTCCGCCTCAGCACCTCTTCCTCTGCGGCCGCCATTTTCGCTCCCCCTCCCTTCCCCCATCCCCCCTGGCTCCGGAGGCCCCTCCCTCGCCTCGGCACCCGGGGTCCTGACAGCCACATAACAAATACGCCGCCTGTGTTAATCTTTTATTTTAGAAAAGGGGGTCCGGATCAACTGAGCGATGCTTGAGGGATTCCGTTCCGAAAGGACTCCATGCCGCCGCGTCGCGGCTTGCTTTGGGAGACTGAGACGGCGGTCAGTTCACGTTCTAACTACAACCCTTCCAAGACCTTCCGGCCGGTGCGGTAGTGAAAAAAAGCAAGGCCTCCTTCGCTCGGAGGTGGGACGGGCTGGGGATTGGGACAACAGTGCCGGCCAATAGGAGAGCACAGGACGAAGGGGCGGGGCACTGAGCTCCCAGCCAATGGGAGAGGACAAACTGAGCGGCTGCCGGCGAATGGGGTAAAAGGAGCGAAGGGTGTTCGGGTAGCGCTGGCTGTACTTGAGTGAGAATAAGGCGCTGTCCAATCAGAAAGCAAGAAATGTAGGCATTCTGTAAGTCAGCTGTCCTGATACCAATAGGAATACTGCATCTATCTAGGGGTTAAATTAACGAATGAGGAAACAAAGATGGGGGGGGGGGGGTTTAAGACTTGGTATTGGAGAACGAGAGAAACAGGTAACGATTGGCCAGGTTTTGAAGTTTACCCCCTCCGCCTTTCATTAAAATTGTTAGCCTTTCCTCAACCTCAGATTGTATAACGTCTGGAAATAATTATTTTCAAAACAAATTGAAAAGTACTCAGAACGTGGAGTGATTCAGCAAGAGTACTTTATTAGATCAGGAACAAGACAAAGAAACCAGCTCGCAGGCCGGTTTATATGCGTTCAGAAAACCCGCCACCAAGCACACCTAAACACACCCCCTACTCCCGATAGGCTATTTACAGTAACCGGGCGACCATTGGTCTCCCGGCTGGGAAGCTGGCCCTTTGATTGGGCCGGCTAGGATCCTATGGATCCTTTGTCTTTCGACTGAAGCTACTGAGGAATATTGCCTGGTCAGCCCGGGCAAGTCCGGGCATGTCAGGCTGAATGCACTACACGTGGTAATGGCGACAGTACATTACAAGGAGTCAGAGAGAAGCCAGAGATGAGTGGACATCTACGGAAGAGTGAAGAAGGAGGGCGTGGAGTTCACAGTTAAGGCAAATCCAGGTAGATTTAAGGTTTGAAAGCAAGCCTGAAGAGGAGCCTGGGGATCTCCCAGAATTCCAGTTGATCTCCAGACTGAGCCATCTAATAAGGGATCAGGCAGATGATGGCTCTTGGGGAGGCGCTTTGGCTCAAGATGCTCTAACACTGAGCCACAGCCCCTCCCCAAGAGGGAAAAGGTGTGTGGCTTCCAGGTTCTAGAGGGAGAGTCGGTTTTTATACCCCACTTTTCCCCATGCAAAGGAGTCTCAGAGCAGCTCACAATCCCTTTCCCTTCCTCTCCCCACAACAGGCACCTTTGTGAGGCAGGCGGGGCTCCGAGAGCTCTGAAAGAACAGGTACAGGCTCGAGGTCACCCAGCTAACTTCACGTGGAGGAGGAGGAGTGGGGAAGGAAACGCCATTCTTCAGATTAGAATCCACCACTCTTATCCACCACACCATGCCGGCTCTAATGCTTACGCTTTTTCCCCACAGCAGTGGAAGGCTAAAGTGTTGGGCCTAAGGCTTCACAGGAGAGGTGTGATTACTTGAGGGACTTGAAGGAAGTGACAGAGGGGGAGGCGCACCAGGTCCAGGCAAAAGTGGCAGCAAGTGAGAAAGGGTGGACTCGACTGAGGGAGCAGGAGTTCTTGGCACTGAGGAGGGTGGTGGAGCTGGAGGAGCAAAGGTGTCAAGGCTGGAGAGGGAGGAGGAGGAGGAGAAGAAGAAGAGTTGGTTTTTATACCCCACCCTTCACTACCCAAAGGAGTCTCCAAGCGGCTTACAATCGCCTTCCATTCCTCTCCTTACAACAGAAACCCTGTGAGGTAGGTGGGGCTGAGAGAGCTCTGAGAGAACTGTAACTGACCCAAGGCCACCCAGCTGGCTGCAAGTGGAGGAGAGGGGAATCAAACCCAGTTCTCCAGATTAGAGTTTGCCGCTCTTAACCACGACACCACACTGGCTCTCTTTTCACACAGCTCAAGAGGATAATGAGGAGAGTGGCCCTGGCAACGGATATGGCGGAGATACAGAGAGGAGGGCTTGGGGGGAAAGAGAAGTCCAGTATAGGATGGGGGGATACAGAAATAGATGGATGAATGGATGGATGGATAAATACAGCCATTACACACACACAGGTTTTACTGCAGATTTTCAGAGCAGTAAGCCATTAATCTTGACATTGGGTTTTGTGCCTGCCTTATGCACCATTTTTCCTTCGCTGTATTTATTCTGCCCCTACAATTGGAAAAAGTGTGCTTTTCTAAATTGGGGTGGGACATCACTTGTGACATGCGGGGGGGGGGTGTCCAATTTTTTTTTTTTTTTTAAAAAACATAGGCAATTACCCTAACACAACTGTGCAGTACCATCCAGCAAATGCCTTCCTTTAAATCCGTATATTTCAGGTTTTACACATGCATTGTAGCATTAGTTCATTGAATGAAAGGGAACAGAAGGAACATAGGCAAAGGGGGGAAACCTGATGTTGAAACTGACCAGACTTTGTTTTTTTTGAAACTGACAAGCAGCTGTGAAGCCTGGTTTTCCATATTGCTGAGCACTATGGGATTCTCTGCTGTGTTGGTGGCCACTGTGAAAAAATGGGATAGGAGAGGAAATTGCAGCTTGTAAACTGATGAAGGGGGGAGGTTGGCAGAAGGCGCAGAGTGGGTGGAACGACCTTGACGTGGGCAGGGGACTGACCTCTGATTGGCAGCAAAAGGGAAGGGGGGAAATCTGAGGGAATCTGTATGCTTTTGAATTACTTTCACCTTGGAAGCGAAACAAGGGGAAATCAGCACAAAAGCACTCTCAGAAAACCCGGAGAAAGAGCAACTAGAAAGCAAACTGAACGCTGAAGAGAGGGAAATCAATGCAGAATGACAAGGAGGCCTAGTAGGCACAGGTGTTTTCCCCTGTGCCGGGATTCTTATTCAGAGTTGATGGATGTATTCCAAACACAAGAGCCACACAGTGCAAAACAAAATATCTTTACTAGAAAAATTAAACAAACATGGGAATGGTTCTTTGGATAAAAGAAAATAAAGGTTACATACTTGCAGCTACTCTCATACATGCTAACAGCTACATTGCTAAAGATGGTTCCTTTCTCTTTTTTTCCTTCTTCAAATATTGTTTATTATTTTTAAAGACAAAACAAACATATAATGGGGGATATTTATCTGTAAATTCTTTCTTTTACAAACTCATGCCTAAATTGTAATTTCTCTACATCTCTCTCCTTTCTCTACATCTCTCTCCTTCTTCCCTGTGAGTGTTTCTTCTTTGCTTCACACAAACTTGTGAATACATGAATGCTAGATCAAAGCCTTTCTACAAACAAGACACAAGTAGACAAGGGTTACAGGTCACTTCATTAGGATAAACAACTCCCACAAACTTTCCCGCAACTGAATACATTACACAGCATAACATCCTGTTTGGCTAACAAACAACATTTAACTCTATAATGGCTGAAATGTAAGCAACTTGTAACTCCAATACCCTGCTTTCACTGTTCATGTCCGTCAGGTTTTCTTTGCCACCCAAGCTGAAATAATGAGGCAGACACAGGTGATGGATTTAAACATTGGGCCACTTTATTAACTGACTGTTGTGAGAAAACTGAAATAGTTG